GTTACGATTTCTGTTAGAAATTTATCATAACTTTTTTTTCCTTTTGTTAATTGTATTATTATTATTATTATTATTATCATAAATTATTTATCATTATTTACGTAATTAAAAGAGATAGAAAATAATAATAATAATATTAATAATAAAATATTTTAAAACGTTTTATTGTCGTAATGAAAAGAAAAGAGAGAGAGAGAGAGAGAAACAATAAATTGAATGAAATCATTACACAAACCTAATTCAAAAATAATTTTTTTTTTTTTTTATATAATTTATGATAATTAAATTATTTTTGAAAAACGTTTTCATAAATAATAATAATAATAATAATAATAATAATAATAATAATAATAATAATAATAATAATAATAATAATAATAATAATAATAATAATAATAATGAAATATTTATATAATTTTAATAGAAATTATTTACACTAATTAATAACAATAATATTTTTTTTTTTTTTATATCGTAAAAGTTTTATCATCATACATGGTAATGGTGATAAATTCGACATTTATTAGTTTTATTTATTATTATTAATATAAAATTTTTATCAATCATCATCATCATCATCATCATCCCCAAATTTCTTTTCAATTATTATAACAATGATCGTGCGTACGAAATTATATCGCGTTGCATAAGTGACAAAAAAAAAAAAAAACTGAAAAAGTGAAAAAATGAACCTGTATGAAAGAAGGCCCGTATTTGAAATTTATGCTAATAAATGAACGAGTGGGGATAGGTAGGAAATCGTTTCACCTAGTTTTTAGTATTATTATTATCAGTGACTGAAACGATAGTGCATGAAAAACATTAATAAAAACACTCTTATGGATTCATTTTATTTGTGAATTTATTTATATATAAATAAATAAATAAATAAACACTACAAAAAATACAATGGCTGGATGTGACGGATGGATTACCATAAAAATATTCGAATTGGTGAGTTAAATATTATTATTATTATTATTATTGGTTATTATTATTTAATACCTCTAACCTATTTAAATGATATTGATTTATTACTTTCTGTCGTTCTATTATTATTTAATAATCTTGGATTATTTAGTTTTTTGAGAGAAAAATTTACATACACATGTAATTGTTGCACAATTACATAAATAATTATTATTATTTTCACTCGAATTTTTTTTTTAATTAACGATTTGTTTTGTAAGTAACCGATCAAGGGTGTTAGTATACGATTCCTTCGTTTTTAATTAACACTAAAATTTTTTTTGTATGAGAAAAGACACATTATGTCACACGGTTTTGCATAGAAACACAAACATACGATAATTTCACTTTCTATAAGTTTTCCTTTCGAACTAACTGCCTCCTCCACCTCCTCCTTCTCCTCCTCCTGTTGCTGCTGCTCCTGCTGCTAAAATTTTGATTTCAATACGAGCTTATTTATAATAATTTTATATATTTTAAAAGTAATAATAATTACCGTAGTACGAAACATAATCACCCATCGTGCTTTTTTAAAATTTTATAGTTTTTTTTTTTTAAACAATAACAATAATTGTTTTCTGTTTTTCTTTTTTTCCATACGTGTAATTACATAATAATTATAAAAAATTGTTTTTTTTTCTTTTTTTTTTTTTTTTACATGCAACAAACAATAATTTTTTCAGCTGTTTGCAACATTTTGTATGATTTACAAAAGAGTCACAGACGATGAAGCAAATAAGTTATTTTATTTTCTACAAAAATATTCAAGAGAATGGCCTTTATTGAACAATGTGACATGGGAAGAAAATGGAGCCATATTTGCTGACGTAACTTATGGAAGTTATATAATAATAACTATAGGACTTATTATTGGACAATGTTCTGGAGAATTGAAACGCTGTAGGAAAATGGTGATTATATACATACACATATTTCACACCCCAATCCTTTCGGGAAAAATTTAAATTTTATTTTAATACAAAAAACTCTTTTATAAATTCATCATTATTATTATTATTTCTTTTCGAATTTCAAGTTTTCCCATTTAAGTTTTTCTTCAAAGGAAAAATTTAATTATTCTCGCCTAAGGAGTTTTTACTTTTATATTTAAATATATTTATATATAAACCTTTAGGTTAAAACTGAAAATTTTTTAAATTAAAATACTAATGAAATTGAACGTTTTTTTTTTTTCTTTTATTTTCCAGGAAAATTTTTTTCTCATAGTCGGAGCTATACTATTTATAGCGACTGGAAGCCTTGAATTAGCAGCGTTGGAATCGGTCGAAGAAAGACTCGTAGATAATGCCGCCATATTGGGAGTTTTTTCCTTGGTAGCAGGTTTTCTATTCATAATAGATCTTTTAACGGCTAGCAAAAGAAGAAAAAGGCAAAAATTAAAATCAATTAATAAAGAAGGTTTGAGTAAATTGACGCAAACGGAAGAGAAAAATTTAAATGAAATTATTCAAAGCGATGTCAATGGTAATATTCAAACGGAGGGAGGTGGTCATAGAATTCCAAAAAATGCCGTCAAATTATTACCCACGTCACCGGTTTTAAGTGAGTATGTGTTTCCACCGCAAAAATATACAAACAATCAATATTTAGGACCTGTGGATTATTATCCAGAACCGTTACCCATCGATAAAGATGAATTGAAAACTCACGAAGGAAAAATACGATACACGGAAAGTTTTCTCCGATCTGAAAAAGGATTGTATCCGAATTTGAGAAAAGGTTCCGAACAGGATCGATCAAACAATCATTATTTTATACCGACCGGATATGTATTAGTCCCTGCCGAACAATTTCATTCGAAAAGTCCGACGAAATCCGATTCTGGAATTGGTGAATCTTACACTCCTCCGAGTTATACAAAAGTTATACCGAGTGCAAAATTAAAAACTAAAAGAGAAAAAGAAAATTTTTTAGATACATCAGCAAATGAAAGTTATCCATTATCAAGAAAGAAATCTATCAGACTTCAACCTTCCGGAAAATTGTCGAAAACTCCTCCTCCACCATCAGATGCGTATTTTCCAAATGGAAAAGACGCAGGTTCTGATTCGTGGCACGTTCACGGTAATTCGTATAAAGTAAATTCGAGCGATTTAAGCGAAAACGAAGGCATGAGACCGGACTCGAAAAATGATTACGAAATGAAACAAATCAAGCCTCAAAAAGCGATTAATAAAAATTTTGAGTCTGAAGAAGATTCAACGGATGAACATAAACGTTCGTATTCCATAGAAGAATATTCCAGGCCGAGTTCTAGATTTTCACAAGAGTCTAGAGAATGGTATAACAAACATAAGGGAAATATGAAATATGAAGGACACGGGAACGATCAAAATAAATTTTCGTATTCCAAAAGATCTTCGCCGTTTAACAAATCGGTACCGACTTCTCCATTTGTAAAACCAAAAAGTATTTTACGCTTTGACGATGATCGCTCTTCGAAAAAACAAAACGAATTTAATTATAATAAAAATCTTCAATACGATAGTTTAGATAGTAAAAAAATAGCAGAAGATTTAAAAACTCTTAAGGAAATCACAACATCAATCGACTACGAACAAGAAAATTACATGTTGAAACAAAAATTACGTAAAGAATACGAAGAAAGAGAAAAATTAAAACAAAAATTTAAAAAACAACTTGATACGGATAACGATGATTCGGATGATGAAAAAAACAGGAGAGTATCGGAAAAAGAAGAACAATATTTCGGTTTGAAAGATTTAAAACAAAGTCATAAAGAAAAAAAATTCGAACCACTATCGAAAGCAATAAGTTTGGATACTTATTTAAAGAAAGGAGATGGAAAAGAAATAAACGACAGAATGAGGGATAAATATTTTGAACGTGAAAGTCAAGCATCGAGAGAAGCACAAGAATTTAGAGATTTAATAGACGAACGTTTTTATTTTTTAAACGAAGAAGAAAAATGGAAAAAGAAAAAAGAATCGCGGTCGGATAATATACCGATACCAAAAAAATCAAATCGTGATTTTAATGAACAGCAACAACAGCGACAACAGCAACAACAGCCGAATTATTCCGATAATGATAAGAAAACATCTCGTAAACAAAGATCAGATTCAGACGAAACAAATTATTCGCAATCAACGGATGAGGAAATACGACTTAGAGTTGAAACTCCAGGTTCATATAAATCCGAAGCATTAGTTTGGGTTGAAAATCCTAAAGAAAATCAACCTTCTTCCACGTCGCCACCGATTTCTCCAACACATCCCGGTTACGTTTTATACAGAGCACAAAATTGGCCTGAATCTCCATCACCAACAGATCGATTTAATTTCAATGCAAAAGAAGCACAACAAATATCAATAAATAAATCTCCAACACCACCGATTATCGATCGTTTAAAAAATGATTATCCTTATTCGAATGACAAAATGAATTCTCAAAAATCACGTTTGTTAGATTTCGATCAAATATCGGAAAACGTTAAAGATTCTGTGATGACGTCACGTCAAAAAGGATCACGTCTAGTCAAAAAATTCGATGTAGAAAATCAATCGTTAAAAGATATGATAAAACCTTCATCATCTTCTTCAATTACCACCGGAACTACAAGCTCTTGGAAAAAATGGTTGCAACCAAAACCGAAATTAATACCCACCAAATCTTCTCCCAACTGAACAACAACAACAACAGCAACAACAATAATAATAATTTAAACGTATTGTTATTTTATTACGACCGAACAAAACCACAGAAAATACTCAATACTCGATTCCTGCAACTTTTTTGTACTCCTATCGTCATCCATAATTTCAATTTCAAGGTCACAAATAATAATAATAATAATTACTAATGCGACAAAGCAAATAATTACAAATAAATTACCGACAAACGGAAAAAGAAAAAAATGTGTTAAATACGCCATTATACGATTTAATTTTTTACTCGGGGATTCATAAACGTTGTAAAAAATCCCATTAAAATAAACGAAGGGAGGGACAAGGGGAAGGGGGAGGGGACGGGAAGTGCGACTGATAATAAGTTTTAAAGAAAATATTTCTTTTTTTCTGAAATTGTGGGTATCTTCCATAATTTTTTAATAGTACCTCTTACCGTCGATCTCGTTTCAACTGCTGCCACTTTAATTTTTTAGTTTTTTTTTGTTATTTTTCTAATACTCCGATGGTAAAATTAAATAAAAAAATTTCTTTTTTAATGTTGTAACATGTTTTATTATATCTATTTCAGATATTTGAAACGTTGTTGTTGACTTGATGTAAAAAAAAAAATAACAAAAAACAAAAGGTCAAATAATAATAATAATAACAAACATTTAAATAAAAAAAAGTAATGGTGAAATTATTATTAGTATTATTACGGTGAATAATTTTCCAATACTTCAATGTTACCAAAAAAAAAATGGAAAAAGAAAAACAAAACTATAATATGTGGGTTTAGTTGATAATAATAATAATGATAATGAAAGTATGACGATTTCAACGTAAAAAAAGACATAAAAAAAACTTTATTATTAATAATTTTCTGTCGTCGTCGTCGTCGTAACCGGTCATCATCATCATCATCATCATCGTATTATTATTATTTTTTAAATTTCTTGTAAAATTTAATTATTCAATAATATTTTCTTCTTAAAAGAAAAAAGTTTAAAATTCCAAAATATTATTATTATTATTCAAGAGTCAAAAAAAAAAAAAAGACAAACGATTAGTTGTTCATTCGAACAAACAAACGTAATAAAAGTTTTGTACAGAAAATTTGTTTGTTTTTCACAAGTGCGAATCAGAGGAATTTTCTTTTGTATTATAATCAAAAATATTTTGTGTAATAATAATAATAAAATAAATACATAACGTTTTGTTTCTTTTTTTTGTATAACTTTTTTTTCAAAATGGACGAAGAAAATACGACAAACGATGGGAAAAAATTCGAAATGAAAGCGATACATAACATAATCTTTTGGATGAAATTAATTAGAATGTGGCCTTTGCAAAATAAAACTTTCATTAATAATTTAATACATCACGTGATTATTTTAATAATTTTTATTAATAATTGTATAATAATACTAAGTTATTTAACTGCCATTTTAAAAGGTTTTAATAACATTGATGGTATAGCCGCGGTGGTGGATTACACGACGGTTTGCATTTCCGCTACATTTCGCTACGTTCATTATTATATTTACGGTAAAAAACATGAAGAATTAATAAAAACAATTTTTGATAAATTTATTTTTCATCCCCTGATAACAAACGATAATGATAATGATAATAATAATGATGGTAGGAAAGAATCCATTGATAAATTTTATAAAATGGCAAAAAAAATATGTTTATGGTATTCGACTCTCACGATTAGTTGGGTTCTTTCGATAATATTAAGTCCGATATTGAAATGGTTATGGACGGTTACGTTCACCGATACGAAAGCAAACGATTTACCATTTCCACAAATTTTACCGGGATATTTTCCGGTGGATCATACTAAAATCCCCCAGGGACCCATTTGTTACTTGATGCAAACGTTTATGAGTACGGTCGTGTGCATAATGTACGTGTCAACAGATACTCTTTGGTGTTTTATTATTTTTTTAACAATGGGACAGTATAATTTTTTAAAAGTTAGCATAAAATCAATCGGGGAATATATTAACGATGGAAGGAAATCCAAAGAAGAAGGAGGAGAGGGAGGAGTAGAAGAAGATTGTATGCCATTGGAAAAAAATAAAATGATTCAAGTCGAAATGAAATTAAAAAAATGTTTAAAATTTCACGGATTTTTAACGGAGTAAGTTAATAAAATATTTATTTATTTTTATTGTGATTGATAACTTCCTTTTTTAAATAATGATTAATAATTAATTAATTTAAACAAATTAAAAGGCTCGTAACAAAAGGAAAGGAACCCCGAAATTATTTTTTTTTTTTTTTAATAAAAATTTTACGTTATTTATAATTCATAAAAGAAAACAAAAAACCTTTGAAATCCTTTTAAAATATTAAAAATTTTATCATGGTCGTGAAAATGTCGTTATGATGGTTGTTTATTGTATCCTTTTTTAAACAATTCAAAAGTCGAGAGAGTGAGAGATAGTGAGTGAGAGTTTAAAATTGTGTAAAAAGGAAAATGGAGGAGTTTACCGGATACGAAAAATTTACAACGACAGAAAAAGGAGAAATAGAAAAAAAAATAACAATTTTACAAATTTTAATAAAATTATTTAAATTTTTAAGAGTTTGGCCGATCGATGATAATGATAATAATAATAATTCTCGCAGTAAATTAATAAATAATGGTATAGCATGGATTTTTTTCGCATCATCTGGTTTGGTCATATTAAGTTTCGCAGTTGAAATTATATTGTATTACGAAGGTTTAAATAAAATCGTCGGCGTTATAGATTACGGCACTGCTTGCATATCCGCACTTTTTCGTATCATGCATTTTTATTTTAATAACGTTAAATATAAAAAAATGATCGATAAATTATTAAATAATTTTCTTTGTCGTCCCATTTTTTCACGGGAGAAAACTGATTCCGTGGATTCGTATTATTACCTGGCAAAAAAAGTAATGGTCACGTATTCGTCTGTTACATTCGTTTGGATTTTATATTTTTTAATAAGTCCGATATTTAAATGGATGGGTACTTTTTTATTATCAGGCATAAACGGTGAAGATTTACCCTTTCCCAAAATTCTACCCGGGTATTTTCCGATGGATACATCCAAACTATCCGGAGGAATCATTTTTTACATATGGCAAGGAATACCCATTTTTTTACTCGTTGTCGTGTACGTAAGCGCGGATTGTTTCTGGTACCTCATAATAATATTAACGATAGGACAGTTTAATATACTTAAATTAAGTATAGAATCCGTGAGTGATAGTATTAACGATGAGAAAATAGACGGGGAAGAAGATTTTATGCCGTTGGAAAAAAATAAAATGATACAAGTCGATATGAAATTGAGAAAATGTTTAAAATTTCACGGGTTTTTAACGGAGTAAGTTTTCTTTCTCCCCCCCCCCCGCCCTTTGAAGGTATAAATAAAATAAATTTTTGGTGGATGACATTTTTTTTTTTTTTTTGTTAGATATGTTTGTTTGATGGATGATCTATTGAATAAATCCGTTATGGTTGATTATCTTCATGCAATTATATCCATAGCATTTTTATTATTAGACGTAACAATAAACGTGAGTGATTTGCTTATTTTTTCCCCCCTCCTTTAATTAAATTTGAAAAATCTTATGAGGTTACATGATTTTCAGTTAACTTCCGGTGTTTGGAGTAAATTTTTATCAACAGCATTATTTTTAGCTTTATCAATTGCTCACATGTTCATATTCGATTGGATGGGACACACTTTGGCACAAAAAGTAAGTGAATTCATTTTCTGTTATTAATAAATGCAAATAATCTATGATAATGTCTTTAAATAAATTTTTTTTTTTTGTTTGTAACAACAGGAAAAAGAAATAAGTCTGACTATATACGATTTACCCTGGTACAGGTTTTTATCACAAAAACATAAAATAATTTTATGTGATTTCAAATCTAAAAACCCACATAGATTAACCGGAGGAAAAACTTTTAAACTTAGTTTAGAATTCTTTACAAAAGTATGTATTTAACTAACAAACAAAAAAATAAAATTGTTTTAATTACGTTTTTTTAAAATAACTAATTCTAATTTTCTTAAACTTATTATTACTTGAATTATTTTCTAATATTTTTCTTTTTTTTCTTTCTTTTTAGACGATGAGAATAATATTTTCATATTTTACATTTTTACTTCAAATCAGAGACGAAAAATAAATTTTTTTCTTTGAATTTACTTCGAATGATGAGTAAAAATTTTTAATTACTTTAGGGTATTAATGTTGCTTCTTCAATTTTTTTTTTTTGTGTTTTAAAAAGGGTAAAAAAAAAATTAAAAATTTTATGTTTCGCAAATATACTCATGTATATTGATTGATAAAATAGAAATATATAAACATAAATTTAAAATTTTATTTTTTTCCACCACCCCATCCCCATAATCCCTTAACGAAACCTGTAAGACCAGGATTTTGTTTTGATTTCGGCGTATCGATCTTGTGGTCCAGTGAAGGAAATTCGGCAAAGTTAAAAGCCAAATCGAAAAATAATGGCTTGCACGGTACGGGTCTCATGTCTGGAGGAATTTTGAATACGTTTGGATATTTCGACAGCAACGCCGGATCTTCTTTATATTCGTCTAAACGTTCAACCAACGGCTGGAAAAAAAAAAAAAAAATTACAATTAGAAAATTTCAATTGAAAAATTAAATATCGAGGCAAAAGGAATCATCATACCTTTCTCGTTTTGTATTGTTTCACGCCGGAGGGTTCTTCTTCTTGAACTTCTCCCTCGAGAACGTGATGAGCAAGAGCGGAAAATTTCGAACCTTCCACGGCTGCCTCAAGTTCTTTAGCTTCTTTATTATAAGCAGATCCCATACTTTTAACCTCAGAAATATACTGTTGAGATCTTTGATATAATGCGATAGCTTCGCTCCACCTCTTCAACGTCACCAGGTATTCTGCTATGTGATAGCACCTGAAAACATACAAAATATTTGTTCAATTGAAAAGAGAAAAATTTAAATATAAATGCAAACAAAAATTTTCTTTCTTTCTTACCTATAAGCTTTATATATTTTGACTTTGACATCTAATTCTTTTTGATATTTTGCATCATCTTCCAATCCAGGCAATTGTTGCATTTCCGTAACGTTTTGTAAAATCATTTCGTACAAACGAATAAAATCTTCCGGCCGTATTTTTTTCTCTCTAATATTTTCATTTGTTTCCTTCGCCTTTGGTTCGGTTTCTTTTGCTTTCATTTGCTCAATCATTAACAAATTTCTGTCAATGGTTCTTGACAATCTGATAAACGTCAAGTAAGACAGTAAATATTGAAGAGAACTTACTGGTTGATTTTTTTCTCTCACAACTTTAGAACTCTAAAATTAATAAAGAATATTAAATGATACATTCAAGTCGTTTTTTTTTTTTTTTTAAAGAAATGATAATTAAATGTTAGGTAATGTGATTAACTAACAGCGTCTCCTTTCATTTCATCTCGAAGACTAGCAATGGCATCTTTGCAATCCATAAGATTATTTTCTAACAGTTCAATTTTCGAAGTTATGTTTAATGCTTTAGACACGGCTCCATCAAGTTGTTTATCCGCTAATAAAAAGAGTCGAACTCTTTCGGGGCGAACTTGCACCTTCCTTCCACGCCATTCAACTTCTTCTAAGACTCCAGCACGTTTTTGTTTTGATTTTTCCATCAATGACTGTAAATTTTTTTTTTTTTTTTGATTAATTATAAAATTTTAAATAAAAATAAATTAATGAATAAGTAAAATATTACTTACATCAAAATTAGCCAATAGATCATGACCTTGCATTCTCATCGCCAGTAAATCTTCAACATCGCTTTCTTCTCCAATATTATAAGAACAGTACCTAAGGCTGGGAGTCAGTTCGTCAATTCTACTCTTATAAATTGGTTGGTCATCTTCATTAACAACTTCCACTAATTTTTGATATACAACCCTTAAGAAGTAATATAAAATTTATATTACAAAACATTTAACTTAAAAAAAGAAAAACTTGAGAAAAAACTCACTGAGCTTTTTTAAGATTTTCCATAGCTGGTTTCCATAATTGTAATTCAAATTGTAATGAACCATGGATCCAGGCAACATAAGCTTGTGCTTCTAATTTAGTTACAGCATCACATACACTAGATTCACATAAGGCTTGAAGTTGAAGAGCATATGTGGCAGCTTTTCTTAGTCTCTGAATTAAGTGAAACTTTTTTCTAGGCTCCGTATTTGCCTCTTGACGAAGCTGCATAGCGTAGCTCCAAGCTCTTTCGGCCATCATTAAAGGAATGTACAGATACCTGTTGTTAAAAATTTTATGTTCCGTTAAATGACTTACTCATATTTCTAAAAATACAACTAACACCTAATAAAAATATGTTTTGTAAAAATCAAAAGCTAACCTTTCATCTTTCAACATAGACTCTGTAACAGGTCTTTTTTTATAGTGCTTTCTGTCTCCCTGTGTGACTTTAAGAACTTTACGAAGCCTTCGAATTCTTCTGCTACAGTAACAACGATAACGTTGGTAATCCCCATGTCTCAACCCATGTTGTTGTTGAGCTTCCTTAATGACTTTTAAAACTATATTATATTATTAAGGAAAAGTAGTAAATTTTTAAGTAATGTGAGTAATGAACATTAGCATATTTTAGTTACTCGATAAAATTTATGGAATAATGATAATAACTTAATACAATTAAAAACTAGTTCCATATAAAAATTAGCACAATCATATAAATATGGTCCAAAATATTTATATTTTTTTCAAAAAATCAAATAACCTAAATTGAAATTTTCAATGTTTTAAAAAAATTATTTTAGGATTTACATAGATTTTAATGAAAACCAGTAAAATTATAAAATTTTTAAAGTGTGAAATTTTTTTCATTGAATTTAAATAATAGTTAAGGTACCAAAAAAGACAACCTTTCCACCATATTTACCCTTAACCTAATAATGTAAATTTGTAAGTAAAATTTTTTTTTCATAATAATCAAAATACGTATAAAAAAGGATACTCTCTACGCTAAGAACAATATTTTTACTCTTCTTAACATTGCTAACTTCTACTTTTTTTTCTTTCACCTCATTGGCATTCTCTTCGTTGACTATCATTTTGAAAAGTTACGATAATGGTCGACAAAGTTGCGACAATTTTATTTTCCACATTTTATTTCATACTTTTAAAATTATATTAAGTAAATTATGGAACAATGTTTAAATAAAGGTGCTTTTAAAAGTTATATATAATAAAAATATATTACGAACAAAAAAATTGTTACAAAAATTTTACAATTTTTCGACAAAATTATTTTTACCTTCTAATTACACGACTAATTCCTTTTTTTTTTACGTAATATTTTATTAATTGTTTACAATTCACGTGGCATGTAATTTTATATGAATTTCACCAAGCCTTATAATTTTTTTTTTAAACATTTTATTAAAAAATGATTTCAATTTTTCAATTATTTATTGTTTTATTTATTTTTAACTCGGGGGGGGGGCATAAACTAAAACAATAATTTACACTAAAATGGATAAAAATTAATTTTCCTTCCTTGTCAAAGAGAGTAATTACATGCAAATTACCTCTAAAATTTGACTCGATTAATTCTATCAAGGTATCTTCCTCGTTTAATTACTTTCAATTATTTACTACATTTTCCTTTTAATATTAGTTCAAAATGAAAGAACATGTATAAAAAAAAAAAAAATTGTATTGCCAAATATGACTGACTGACTGACGGTTCCACGAGATACCTTTCGTTCAGAATAGGAAACAAGGAATAAAACATGGCGCTGGAATCGTAAATGAATTTTCAAAAAGCGAAAGAACGTAAAAATCTTAATTATAGGATCATATTACTTATTTAGACACAAAAATAAAAATTATTTCAACCGTAATTTAAATTAATCAGCCTCCGTAAAACTTCAATCAAAATTTTATTACTAAGAAAAATCCATCCAACTCCAGCCATATAAGTTCATCTAGCATTCGACGATTTAACCTTAATAATAATAATAATAAATTTCCTTCTAGATAAATTCGAGTAAATTTATCATCAACCGCAATGTCTGATTCCAACATTCCACTTTATGAGTTCTCATCATATATAGAAATACCGAATGCTTAAACCTTTTCCTTATTCAATCGCCATATGTCACACACATCTATTTCTCGCTAAAAAGAAAAGAAAAAAAATTACCACCGTACCTAAGAATGGAAATATGAGTCAATTCACGTTTCCCACGTTATCACCAACTCACAAACCATTTTTATTCTTTGGAAAATAAATAATACCTATTACATCATACATGATGCCCTCAAGTCTAAAGACTACTTATCTAAAATAAGTAATTGTTTTCGTTTCGTGGGGGGAGGGGGGAGGGGAGGCAATTGTCAACTACCTCACCGTTAAAAATAACATTGTGTTCTTATTTAAATTTTTTTCAAGGTACGGCAATATAAATTAATATGCAAAATTTAAGGTCGGCAAATTCTTCGTATACAACAAGGAAGTTTTTCTTGTCCTATTTCTAAAAAAAACCTTTTTTTTTTTTCTCTTCACCATCTTTTCCTCTTTTCTTAAACCTGAAAAATTAATTTCTCTATTAAATTTCCAGTTATTTAATATCATTGTAAATAATTATTTTTTTAAATAAAACAACCGTTAAATGATTCAACTTTAAACTTGTTTCAAAATATTTTCTCCCTCTAAAAAATGTCCTAGACCTTGAAAACGAGGTTTCTAAAAAAACGTTTCCCCCCAAATAATTTTAAGGTCTTGTTATACACTTCCGAAACCATTTAAGAAAAAAATAAAAAAGGAAATGGATTAAAAAAAAGAAAATAAAACGCATTTTTTTTTTAGAAATTACCAAATTTTTTTTTTTTTTTATTTTTTTTTATTCTATTATTAAAGGTATTAAATTATAAAGTGAATAAAATAACCAATACACAGAGATGACAGAAACATATGCTCCAAAAAAAAAAAAAAACAAAAAATTAAATATTTTAAAATAAATAAAATGAAATCAAGTGTGAAGCGATTTTTTTTTTTTTATCTTTTTTTATCTTTTTTCTCCTTCCATTTTGCATAATAAATTCAAATGTACGTTTAACTAATAGTATTTAAAAAGAAAAGAAAAGAAATGAAAAGAAAAGAAAAATGAAAATGAAAAAAAAAAAGAAAAGAAAAAAAAAAAAAAGAAATAAACACTGCCATAAACTTTTCGGGAGGATTTTTTTTTTTTTTTATTTTTGCGCCTTCTTGTTTATGTATTCTATAATCAAAACTGAATTTTAGGCTCGTTAGAAAAGGGTTCATACACATTTGTGGGTAGGTTGGGGTGTGTAACAACTTGAAATCAATAACAAAAAAAAAAAAAAAAGACTCAGTCTAATTTCAGCCATTACAATACTGATCTTATCAAAAAAAAAAAAAAAAAAAATCTGTGATGACCCTAATAAAATTTACTTCAAAATTTACTACTTGGATTTCCCTCCTGAAAATCCCAAACTTCACATTTAAATTGGAATGAACCTCCTCCTTCGCCTCCCTCCCACACCCCCCGAAAATACAAATTTACAGCAATGTTTTTTCTTTTTCTTCTTTCTTTCTTTCTTTCTTTCCCCCCTCCCCTTTTCTTTCTTTCTTTCCTTCCTTCCTTCTTTCTCACTCTTCCCATTTCTATTTCAATTCAAAAGCATTAATTTTGAAAATTGGAGTTCTTGCATATCATCATCATCATCATTATCATTATTATCATCGATCCTTATAATATATAATTTAGATGTCTTTTAAATAATCAGTCTTTATAAATTAGTTAATATCAATTCATCAATTGAAGGAATGTTTATGTACAATCTTCTATCAATGATTGCATTGACTTTCTTTTTTTTTTTTTTTTTTTTCTTCTTCTTCTTCTTCCTTTTTCCCTATAAATATATACTTATTTTTTTATATATATATGTGTGTAGTATATATATATATATATAACTGAAAGTAAATTTAAAAAAAAAAATCATGATGCAAGAAAAAAGAAAATAGATCCAAAATTCAAAAAAAAAATGCCCAATCGAACTAGATAATAATAGTACGGACTGAACAATAAATTTAAAAGCATTTTCTGTGAACGATTGATGGACCAGATTCGTCGTATTCTTGTTTTGAAATCCACATTTGTTGGAAGGTTGAAAGAGAGGCAAGAATGGAACCTCCGATCCATACGGAGTACTTTCTTTCCGGTGGAGCGATAATCTTGATTTTCATCGTTGACGGAGCAAGGGCAGTGATTTCTTTTTGCATACGGTCGGCGATTCCTGGGTACATGGTGGTACCTCCGGAAAGAACGGTGTTGGCGTACAAGTCCTTACGGATGTCGACGTCACATTTCATAATACTATTGTAGGTAGTTTCGTGGATTCCGCAGGCTTCCATTCCCAAGAATGATGGTTGGAAAAGAGCTTCGGGACAACGGAACCTTTCGTTTCCTATGGTTATGACTTGACCGTCGGGAAGTTCGTAGGATTTTTCTAACGAAGAACTGGAAGCGGCGGTGGCCATTTCTTGTTCAAAGTCGAGAGCTACGTAGCAAAGTTTTTCTTTGATGTCTCTGACAATTTCCCTTTCGGCAGTGGTAGTGAATGAATAACCACGTTCGGTAAGGATTTTCATAAGGTAATCGGTGAGATCTCTTCCGGCGAGATCGAGACGGAGAATAGCATGTGGCAAAGCATATCCTTCGTAAATGGGTACGGTGTGGGATACACCGTCACCAGAGTCGAGCACGATACCAGTGGTACGACCAGAAGCATACAATGACAAGACAGCTTGAATAGCAACGTACATGGCTGGGGTGTTGAATGTTTCAAACATGATTTGTGTCATCTTTTTTTTGTTGGCCTTGGGATTGAGAGGAGCTTCGGTCAATAAAACTGGGTGTTCCTCTGGGGCGACTCGAAGTTCGTTATAGAAGGTGTGATGCCAAATTTTTTCCATATCATCCCAGTTAGTAACGATACCATGTTCGATGGGGTATTTCAATGTAAGAATACCTCTTTTAGATTGAGCTTCGTCACCTACATAACTGTCTTTTTGACCCATGCCAACCATGACACCTTGGTGACGGGGGCGACCGACAATGGATGGAAAAACGGCTCTGGGAGCATCATCCCCGGCAAAACCAGCTTTGCACATTCCGGATCCATTGTCAACAACAAGAGCAGCAACGTCTTCGTCACACATTTTGATTAATTAATTTCTAAAATTAAAAAAAAAAAAAAAAAAAAATTAATCAACAAATTTAATCAAGCTAAACAAATTATATACACAGTTTTATTGATTTAAAATTATCCGACTAATTAACGTGCCTAGAATTAAAAAACTGACTTTCAAAAAATTAAAAGCAAAACGACTACGTGGCAAAATTTCACAAAAAAAAAAAAATTATTAGTAATGGAAAAAAAAAAAAAAAAAAACGGAATTAACAAATTTAGAACCAATTAAAAAGAAATAATCCCAACTATGCAAAAAAAAAAAAAAAAAATCCTACATAATTTTCTTAACCGTGTTATTATTTAAACACCGTTATATCGACACAATGCCGACCAAACGACCAACCAACCAACCAGCCATTTTTTTAACTTAAAATTTTAATGCGAATTTTCTTTTCTCCCCTCCCCCCCCCCGCCGCCGCGAAAAATACTAAAACCACCGAAACAAAACACTAAATACAACGTATTATAAATAAAATAAAAAAAATTATTCCTCGTTTTATACGGTTTGGTAGGAAAAACGTTGAAAATGAATATAAAAAATGGAACCGGCATTAACAGGTGGCGAAAACTTGTATTAACAAATCGATACGATTAATTTTTTAACAACAATTTTTAACGATGCATTTTTTTTTTTTTTCTATTTTAATATTTAAAGTAAAACAATTTTCCCTTTTGACGAATACCATAAAAGGTAAAATGTTTTATAAAACGCATCAAAATAATTCATATTTTCGAAAAAAAGGCTTAAAAATGAATAATAAAACACATTTTCCGCAAAAAAAAATTTTTTTTTGACACGTCAAAGCCCCACCCTATCACACAAAGATGGGCAATAAATGCAGGAGGATTTTCATCGATTTGTACGCGACGTGAAAAAACTCGTAAAACAACATTAAAAATACCGAGAATTTATACAGATTTTAAGAAAAATATGCATTTATATGTACAACGACGATATTATTATAACCAAAAACTTTTTTTTTTGTAAAAATAAAACCAACACTTGGATAATTGTAAACTTACATTTAAAAAAACGAATTTAATAAAAAAATTAAATTTAACAATAAAAAAAAATTTTTTTTTTAAAATTAAAAAAAAATTCACTAACAACACACACACACGTTCGATATGCTATCCAGTAACGAACTGCAATAATTTTTAGGCGGCGTTTTATGTAATATACGGTGGCTTCAGACTTCAATTTCCCTCCTCACTATTTCCCCTACCACGATAATAAGGACGTTTGCGGGTATCAACCAATGAGAATTCACATGCCCATATATGGAATTGAAGACAGCATGGTCAAACCGAAATGCTTTGAATGCCGGCCTTATATCCCCTTTTTTTACATTTAACAAAATTAACACAAACCTCAACAATTCTATGGGTGGTGAAAATATTATTATTTTCAAATAAATACAATCGACTTTCATTAAAATTTTCCTTTTTTCATATTTAATAATAACGGTCAACATGAAAACAACAACAATATTTTTCGCGTAACGAAAATTAATAACATGACGCGGTTGTGATAATTATTTAAAAATTCGACGTGGCATAATAAATCGGTAATTAATTAAATAAATAATTTTAATAATCTAAATATAAAATAAAACTCGAAACAAAAACGAACAACTATTTTATAGGTTGTTGTTATTATTATAAGGAAATTTTTGTTAAACCCTAACCTCGCGTCAACAGGAAAATTCGAGCAAACACAAACCTTTAGCGTCCTTTTTTTTTTTTTGATGAATTATTTAAAAATAATTAATGTAATAATTTAAAAGTAAATAAATAGGAAAAATAAGTCTGGCGTTAAATAAAAAAATTCAAAATGCATAAATTTAAAATTAAAATTAAGTGAAAATAATAATAATAAAAAAAATTTACCTTTAACTTGGAAAAATAAAAATGGCACGAATCAACTACACAACGTTCGTCACTCAAGTGAAAGAAACGGTCATTCGTGGAACTTGAATATAAAAATGGATTCGTCTGCTACGGGGAGTTCCGGAATAAAATGTCAATTGTTACTATAAAGTAATTTTTATTATAAAAAAAAATAATAATTTTAAAGGATTTTTGTCACATTTTATTACATGGAATTCATGGATTTCATTTTTAAAAAATTTATTTTTTATTTTCAATTACGTTTAAAATTGAGATAATTTAATTCGTTTTCCTCGCATTTCGATAAGATAGGAATCAATGTGAACTCACCCGCGTCTGTTAAAAATGGACTCGCCCGTCTTAACCCCTCTTTTAGTGTAAGCAAAATTACCATATATGGATGTAAAATAAATCCAAGCATTTGATTGGCCGATTCAAACCGAGCATCGGTTTGGCGGGAATCACAAATATTCCGTAAGTCGTGACGTTATTGAAATGGTAGTTTCTACTAAAGCGAGTCATCACAATGATTCAACATGTGACTCACATTTGTTGTTATGACTTTTCTCTTTCCTCTTTGCGGTAAGTTTAGAGTTGGCTTGTGTTAAAATGGCGGCGTATTTTTGCAATTTCTCGACATCGTTTTTTGTAATTCTTTTTGTTTTAAATTGGCAATTTTTTTTTTTTTTTGATCTCGTAATTTCTTTTACGTACTTGTTTCTACTTGATTTTTTTTTGTATTTTCATGGAATTTTGCGAAACTATACCTATATAGTTTTTTGTAGAAATATCTCTCTTTGCTTTTTAAAAGTTTACATATCCATTCTTGTTTTTCAGGTAATTCTAATTTAAAAAAAGGCATTCACTTGATGAAGGAATAGGTTCATAAAAAAATTATTTGATTAATAACAAAAAATTGATTTTGTCAGGAGGCAGGATTCCATTGGGGAAAAAAACATTTTATTATTTAAATTGTGTTGTTGTGACTGAATATTAATAAAAGTGTTACAAACTGAATAGAAATCATTTCTGTCACTTTATAACAATGCAATGTAAAAAAAAGAAAAAAGAAAAAGATAAATGAGTAATATTTATTATTTATTTAAAGTTTAAAGGGACTACCATATATAAAAAGTAAAACCAAAAAGAAAATTAGAGCAAAGAAATCGAATTTCATCTCTTTAGAATAACTCTTCCAAAAAAATTCATACTTATTTCATCCGAGAGAAATTAATAAAAAAAAAACGGTTAATGTCCTTGCCTTTCCATAATATTTATTTATTTTTTTTCTTAACGTTCAAGTTCAGGATTTTTTGAGTCATGTTGCACAATATAATCTATGAATAATTTCCTATGTATTAGAAGAATGGCCGATAAAAAAAAAATTAATCATCGAATGATTATATTCTATTAATTTATACTGAATATTATGGTTGGTGATGAACAAAAATGATCAGTCGACGAATGAAACACCAAAAAAAAAAAAATTCTCGATTTGGTCTGTGATTATTCTTTAAAAAAAAAGGCAACAAAATTAGTTTGGAATTAACATATTCTCAATTTTTAATTTTTTTCTTTTTAACTTATTATAACTCATACAAAATGAATTGAAGCCATGAAGTGTAGCAAAACAAAAAAAAAAAAAAGAGAAAATAAAAACTTCTGGTTTGGTGTTTTTGCTACGGTTAAAAGACATCAGAAGGCTTTTCCACCAATTTCATGTAAGAATTTTCCTTTTAGAAAATTATTATTTAAAACGTAAACCTTTTCTTCTAAGAAAAATTTTCTTTTTTTTTAATAATTTCGAAAAAAAAAAAAAATTTAAAAAAGAGAATTATTAATGTTTTGTTTCGACAAACAACATTCTCCTCGTTGTATTACTTTTTTCTCTTTCTTTCTTTCTTTAACGGCATCTAATTTTCTAGAAAGTTCTACTTTTAAAAAAAAAGTATATATAAATGATTACTATGAAAAAAAAAAAAAACAATTGCGATTAATATATCATTTGTATAACATGAAACCTTAACAATTTCTATACCATCATAAAAAAAAACTACAACCTTCAATGAATATACAATTGGCATAATAATAATAATAATAATAATAATTTTAAAAAAGGTAAATTGACCTAACTGCAAAAAAACCTTCCAAATTCAATTATTGTTATACAATTATCGGTTTTCGGTGTCACAAAACATTTTAGGCGTGTGTTTGTTTGTTTGTTTGTTTGTATAAAAATGTACAAAAACATACAATCGTGATTTTTTTTTATTTATTCATTACACACGAACCGTTGATAAAAAAAAAAATTTTTTTTTTTGGTATTTTTAGGCATTTTATTAAGTCCATAAAATAAAATTTAATAAGAAAATTTTTTTTTTTTTGTGAAAAGAAATTAGAGTAGTTAAATCAAGAATAATAATAATAATAAAAAGTATAATAATAATAATAATACACAACGTTTTTGTTTTTTTTTTTTTTTTAAATATTTAACTCAAATTTTTTTTACAATAATAATATCATGTTTCATTTAAAAGGTAAAAGAACTTGGGAAATAAATAAAAAAATTTTCTTTTATGAAAATCCAAGAGGAAAATTATAAAAAACGTGATGCTGTGTATGTATCACCGTGGATATTGATTTATGTACATAAATAAATAGGAAAACATTGATTATGTAATAAGATGGAATCAACCCCTCTGATTCTGTGATGGAGAGAGTTTGCTCAATATAAAGTTTGTTGTGACGAGATGATGATGATGATGAGTTCATTCACAGATAGGGAGAGTTTAACTGAGTCATAAAAAGTGATTCATTTATTATTATTATTATTATTATTTGATTTTTTCGTCTGCTTTCTTATATAGATTTATACTTTTTCCAGAAATTATTAAGAGAGAATTTCATTTAAACCCCCCCCCCCCTTGTGCGATATTTCTTTTTTTCATGGAATGATTTTGAACTATATTTTTTATCATTATTATTTTTTATTTATTTATTTATTATTATTATTATTATTATTATTTCTATCCTTTACTTATACTTGATGAAATAAAAGGATGCACTCAAACGATTTTT